CCTGATTTGCAGTTTGTAAGAAAACATTCTAAGTGATTCATTTTCAGAAATGACTTATCTGAGGGTGTTATATTGAGATGGTAAATTAGTTGCTAGCCCCTTTTGTTTCCTGGAGGGTTGATGAACAGATAAGTCTCTCCTTGAGATGGTAATTAGTTACTAGACCCTTTGGTTTTCTTCATTCCCTGGTGTTTCTCTCTTCAGACAACTTTATTTATTTATTTATTTATTTATTTTTTCCTTTGTTTTTGTCTTTTTTCGTGTCCGGCAACAGACCGCAACCCTAGTGTCGCGCCCGTACCGGACCGGGACCGGCAACGGGATCGCAACCCTCGGTGCTGCGCCCGCCCCTCGCTCAGCCAGTGAGCGGGAACCGGTCTGTATGTGGGATCCGAACCCTCGGTGGGAGCGCCGCCACGCTCCCAAGCGGCACACTGTAGCAGTGCGCCACCGGGCCGACCCTTCAGACAACTTTATTAGGCCTTTTTCACAGGCTTGTCTGAGCCCCCAGACAAAGGAATTCCTTGCAAGGGGGTAATAAATCTTAGGCACCATTTGGGAAGATTGTGCATCCTATTGTATTCAGCCAATGAGGAAGTGGGGGGAGGGACGTGTGCACTAGGGAATAAATTGCTCAGTGTAACTGTTTTGTGCATACCTGCCTTTCAGACACCTGAACCTTGCAAGGCCGTTATTAAAGTCTCGCTTTGCTGTACCTCGTGTCTTTATACATCCTTTGGCATTGGATGGGTGAGGGCATTTCCCACACAGTTGAATGTGTCTGGTTAAGGTATTGGGCATTTTGGTGAACTTTCTGTGTGTCTCACACATCAGGCATGGGACTTGTCCTTTGATATTTACATCGAGTTGTCCAACTTCAGCTTATAGGGCTTCAAGAACAGAGGAGTTCTTGTTCTTTGTTGAAGAGTTATAACCAGACATTGGAGGAAACTAGAAAAATTCAAGATCCAGCTCAATCTACAGGTAGATAATAAAAACTTGAAAACAATGAACCGGGGTTACAATCTAATAATAGGTGTACTATAGTTCTTCTTTAAAAGCATAATTTTTTTCCTCTACACTCAACCCCATTTCTACCAAAGGCAATCAGTAAAATTAATTTATTTGCAAAGTAAGTTTAGTGTCATCAAATTTGGCCTGATTGTTTACATAAGTGTAGCAAAAATAGTGATTGACAACATAGGCTCTTTTTAAGTTTGCTTTACTGGAATTTTTGACAAGGCATCTCAGGTTGGACTTTTAAAAACCTCTCAAGCCTAGGAAAACAAACCAAGACAGACTTCAGACTTCACCTGCTGTACCTATAGATTCGCTCTATATACATTTTAAAATATGACATCCTAGTCAAAGCCTTGGTAATATAACTAATAGTTCCAGTTGTATTTTGATATAAAGAGAGCAGATTTTTATTGAACTTATGCAAATAATAGTATTACCATAAAAATTAGAATACTCACAAATAGTTTCTAAATTCTGTAGGTTATAACACCAAGGTCAACGGTTCGGATTCCCATACTGTCCAGCTGGAAAAAAAAAAAATTCTATAGGTAGAAAAAGTAAGTGTTTCAATTTTTGTTCACAAAAGTATACTTTACCAAACAACTATAAGCCATAGATAACTTAAAAGAAATGAGGTTTCCTTAAATCTGAAAAACAAAACATTAAAAGAACCAACAACATTTCAAATTTTAAAAGCCATAAGAACCCATAATTTTTCATCAGTCCATTCAGTATTATGTGATTAATTCTTATTCTGATTGATCTTGGTTAGCAGCTTTGTATTAGTCTGTCTCTGTTGCTTATAACAAAATACCTGGAACTGGGTAATTTATAAGAAAATTAAATTTATTGCTTAGTTTCAGAGGCTGGGAAGCCCAAAGTCCAGGGAACACATCTGATGAGGGTCTTCTGTGGTGGTGGCTTTATAGTAATGCAGGGTCTCACATGGCAGAAAATGGCAAAGCAGAGACCCTCAGAACCATGCCCACAGCCACCATTAAACCATCAACTTCATCACCTCTTCAAGGCCCCACCTTTCAATTACCATAATAGGATTTCACACCTTCTTAACACCGTCACAGTGGTGACCAAGCCTTCAACACATTAAACTTTTAGTGATCTTCAAGTTTATCAATCCAATGGTATGATTTTTAAACTTCTCAAAGTCATTTCCATGAATCTCCTTGAAGATACAACAGTTTAGGATTATAGTTGCTTACAAAAAATTTTCAGAAAAGCATCAGAATGAAACAATTATTGGGCTGGCCGGTTAGCTCAGTTGGTTAGAGTGCCGCCTTATAAGACCAAGGTCACAGGTTCAGATCCCTGTCCTGGCCAGCTGCCAAAAAAAAAATGAAGCAATTAATTGTGTGCAACAACACTTAAAATGGCCATGGTTAAAGATCTGATAAAAGCTTATTATAATAATGATGCAATTGATAAAGAAATTGACAATGCTTCCCTTATAATTAACATATCAAACCAGTTTCCATCAGTGTACTGTTGATATTAATATTTAATTTTTAGGGGCCGGCCCGGTGGTGCACTGGATAGTGCGCCACTTGGGAAGCGCGGCGGTGCTCCCGCCCGAGGGTTCGGATCCCACATACGGACCGGTTCCCGCTCACTGGCTGAGCGAGGCGCGGGAGCAACGCTGAGGGTTGCAATCCCGTTGCCGGTCCCCGGTCTGGTACAGGGGCAACACTGAGGGTTGCGATCCGTTGCCGGACACGGAAAAAGTCAAAAGACAAAAAAAAAAAAAAATTTAATTTTTAGAAAAACTTAAAAATAATTTCTAATTTTAACGAGCTTGATCACACATAAAATTCCTTTTACAAGATTCATCTTCCACAAACCTTCTACAACCTTCTTGTAGCCCTTCAGCTACTTGTCCTATACTTTTCCTTTTTATCATATTGGGACAACCAGTCATTCCACTTTAAGAACAAAAATTACTCTTTTTTCCTTAACAAAAACATCTTTCATGTAAAATTTACTTACCAAAAACACATCTAACTTTCCTCACATAAGGAGTTTTTCCTCTTATTATTTCTAGTTTTAATTATGACATATTAATTAGAATTTTTAACTCTTAGTAACCTTAACTTCTAGTGAAAACCTAGGAAGTAAGCAATTTTGAACTGTTTTATGTCAGCATTTTGTAGATGAGCACCATTTCATAATTTTTAGAAACATTTTTCTTTATAACACAAGGTTTATTAATAGACTCAAATATATTTAGGTTCTCTATACCATATAAAAACAAGATGCCAAAATACATATACTTTAAACTAATATACTTTTTATACTTTAAATTAATATTTCAGTATTTTAACTTACTTAGAAATGACTCAGACATTTCACGAATATCTATTACTTAATTTAACATAGTACGACTTTAAGATTTCAAATTACTGAAAAAAGATTTTCAAAACTATATGTTCATGTAAAAACTTCTATCCTATTTACATTCATCTAATTTACTTGTTCTTAACAATTATGCTTGCGTTGCTCCTTAAACAAAACTGGTCATTGAAGTTGTTCAGGAATTGCTACCCCAAAATTTGTCACTTTGATTATTGATTATTTTGAATTAAAAGCACTTGAAAAATAGCAAAATGCAGGGCAGAGCTTTCTGAATTCCCCTTATCTGTCTAAAGACAGATCCTCCCAAAGGAACTCAACTGTCATCAATTCTCTCCACAGGGAGTTCCAGCAACCAAGGGAAATTAACTTTTATCAGAGGAGAGGAGACTTCACCACACCCACACAGACCATGTCACCAACCATTGGCTACTCTTCTAAGAGCCCATTCATCCTTCCCCCAAATCATCTACTCTGAGGGTATCTCTCTTCTTCATCCTCTGGCCATTATACCCATTTCAGTAGGGGAATTGAGTCCTTTCTTGATTGACCTAAGTGATTATTGCCCTAAGCAATTGTTTCCCAGGTTGCTTACTGTAATCTCTGCCTTTTGGCTTTTTTTAATCGCTCCAGACTGAGTAAACAGAGTGAACTGGTTTGGGGCTCTGTAATGTTGGGAAACCAGAAGGGGGATCCCTCTGTTCCATTCAACCTTTGGCAGATTTAACCTTTGTTTTAACCTCATCACTGTCCATTTTATTCATCCCATTTATAATAACCATCTAGAAATGCATCTCCAAAGGGATGGCTATTAGGTAAAACAAGGTAAAAAATTTACATTTCATATATCAAGTGAATATATTCATGACCTTGGGGATAGGCAAAAAGTTTTTAAACAAGATACATAAAAGGCTAATCATAAGAGAAAGAGTAATAATTGGAGTTCATTAAAATTAAGAATTTTTGTTCATCAAAAGACAACAGAAAGGGAGTAGAAAAGGAATCTCCTAGCTGAGAGAAATAGTTGTAATATCAACAGGAAGTAATATATAAATAACTTTACACAAATAAAAATTGTTTCATGTCTCAGCATGATGCCTTTTTATAGAAATCTTTTAATTTTTAAGACAGGGTAATAGGCTGGGGGATTAGGATGTAAATTGCACGAAGGCAGAGATAGCTCTCATTTTTTAGTACTTTATATCCCGTGTCTACAACAGTGCCTTCCACATAGCACGCAATCAACAAATGTATATGGTGAATGAATGAATGAAAAGATAACCTCACACCAGAAAATAATCTCAGAGAAATTTTCCTGGACTTGACAAGTGACTTTAGCCAAATAGACTGCACTATGTCATGTTCAAAGTGACCCCAAATTAAGCCTAAGGCGTGTGTGTGTGTGTGTGTGTGTGTGTGTCTGTGTGTGTGTGTGTGTCTGTGTGTGTGTGTGTGTCTCTGTGTGTGTGTGTGTGTATGGCTGGTCAGTATGGCTAAAGCTTCTTAAAAAGCTCCTTTACCATGATTCTATAACCTTCTGTTTGAATATATTGGCCAATATTTTAGTCTGTTCCAAAAACGTTTGTTCTGACTTGTATAATCTTTTTCCAAGGGAAACTATGGAACCTTTTTCCTGGAAACAATGCTTCTCAAGAGTCCTTCTTCAACTTTCAGGTATGGGGAAGATTTTTTTTTTTTTTTTTGAGATAGAATACTCGTTCCAAAAAATTCTACCCTTGGAAGACAAAAGATAAAAACAAACCTTGTTGGTTGCAATCACCAAACATTACAGAAAGCAGACATTGGTCATGTCAATGTAGACAGGGAAGAGGGCTGTAGCTACGTAGCCTTTTTCCTTATTCTACTTGAACACTCAATGGATGTATTCCGTTGAGTATTCTTTGAATGGAAAGAAAAGGAGGCAAAGGGGATATGCAAAAAAGTGGGAAATTTTTCTTTCAGCTTAGTTCCTCAGTTGAGTAACTGATATTACAGTTCCATAGCATTCAGAGATTGTATTTCCCCTTTTCTACTTTCCTTATTTCCCATTTAAAGGAATTTTGGCATCAATATCAGTAAGTAAAATTTATTTTTTATCATATAGATCCTACCTAAATAACTCTCGTTTGTTGTCTTTCTCTATTTTTCTGCCTTCTCCCACCTAGAATTGACACCTTTCTGAAAGTTTCCAGGTGGAATTACAGCCACTGCCACTGACACAGCAAGGCTTGGTTAGAGCAAGATGCACCAGAGATAGGGAGGGACCCAATGTCACCTCCTACCCCAGTTCCTGTGGGCACTGGAAAAAATGGATTTCCCCAAAGACCTCAGCAAACATACTTCTTGGGGATTGTGTTTCAGCTCCCTCTTTCCCAATTTGGAAAACCTTGATGTTGCTTGCAATGTTCCTGGGACTTATAATCACTGGAAAATTTTTCATTTGGAAACAATACAGGAAAAAACCAAAAAAAGTGAGAGAAAGGATGAAACTTGTCCCATAGGTAAGTCATAGAATATCAGGTTATTCGTCATGGGTGTTTGTGTCGAATGAGGAATCAAATTTTTGATGTGTAGTTGGATTAGGTATCCCTTTAGATGAATTGCAGTCCTTCTGAACTTATTATTTCAGAATTTTCCACATGAAATTCCAATTGTCCAGAGCTCTGAAGAGGAATGGGGGTTTTCATTGCAGAATCACAACCCAGCTCCTTAATTAAAGCATGAGAACCAATGAAGTCTCATCACCAATTCCCACCCCTTGGGATCTAGTACTGGGAGGTGGAGGTGGGACACAGGACCCACTGGATGATAGGCGTATGTGGGGAGAACGTGATGAAGACACACATTCAACATGTGACACCTGAGCATGGACTCTGGGCTGTGGTGGTGTCTGGGAATGGGTACAGGGTCCCAGGGCTGCCTTCACTCAAGTCCCCCACATGCCACAACAGTCTCTTAGAATCTAAACATCTGAACCTAACCCATCAAGAACTTCCAGGTTATTTCTGAGGTAACAAAAGGAAATAAAACACATTTCTTATTTTTGATTGATTGATGTTTTTTCAGTAATCGGATGCAGATAGTAACAGACCTCCAGTGTCTCTTTCTGACCTTGTTTTCTTCCCCCTCCTCACATCTCCAGCTCCAGAAGGCCTTTGAAGTGTTTTCACTCCAGAGAGAAGCTCTGACTTCTGGTCAAGATGGTGGAATAGAGAGTCCCCAGTGTCACTCTCTCCCACAATCAACCAACTTACAACTACGAAGAAGCAACGACTGCCAAGCTGGGGCCACTAGAGCTCAGGGGAAGAGGAGGAGAGACCTACAGAGCCACATGTTGACACTCCCAGTCACCTCTGTCCCTCATCCTATTTCAATTCTCTGCTCAGCATTCATTGCCGTCTTACATTTTTCTTGCAAATTTGTTTCTTGGCTCGCTTTGTTCATTGATGCTTCCCTGGCACCTAGAGCCGGTCATGGCATGCAAAGGACACTCGTGAGTATCTGGGATGAATGAACATGCATGTTTCTTCTGCAGAGAGTCCCTAAGCATCAGGGCACAGTGGGGCAGGACGCCCCCGCATGCAGAGGTAAGGCTACCGTTCTTTCTGCTGATCGGCCATGACGGCCTTCCCACCTCCCAGTGCCCCTCCGCGTTCCTCCCTGTCCCACTATTGGCAGAGCTTTCCAAGGAGATAAGGAAAGGCCTGAAGGCAGCAGCGGCTGTTCCCTGAGTAGTGACGGCTAAGACTGTTCTGATCTGGGGAGGGCCAGTCTCCCAGCTCCATGCTCCCACCCAGACTCCCCCGCCGTCCCTCCTGCCTGCCTTCCCCTCCACTTCCCTGTCCACAGACAGAGCCACAGAGCTGCTGCCAAAACCCAAGCCACTCCCCTATACACACTGTCACACACACAATCTAACGTTCTTCCTCTGGAGCTGGCGCTATCAGGAGGTGGAGATGGGCAGCCCTGCCCGGAGTGAAAAGTGCTACCCTAGGGCACGTTAGGAGTGAAAAGTTTACTGTTTCATGTGGGCAAGCTATTTCTTCTTCTTTTTTTTTTTTTTTTTTTTTTTTTTTTTTGGACGCCTGAGTCCAAGCCCAGAGCCCTGTCCACCAAGCCACAGGGACAAGGGGCAACTGGCCAAGTCCCAGCACGAACCCACTCACCTGAGAAGATTGAAGCAAGCCTGAAGATGTCCGAGAGGCGGGAGGTCACCGGCTCGTAGGGTGAGGCTTCATAAAACTCCTCCCCTAGAAGAGAGAATCGGCGTCAGACACAGGTTCCCCATCCAGAACTCTCCCTGGCACTTAGCAAATCTACCCGAGGAACGTTCTGCCACTGGGGCTGGTGCTATCAGGAGGTAGAGGTGGGCAGCCCTGCCCAGAGTGAAAAGTGCTACCCTAGGGCAAGTTAGGAGTGAAAAGTTTAACGTTTCATGTGGGCAAGCTATTTCTCTCCAGCCAGAGGACGAGCTCCCCAGAGCAGGTCGGAACCACCTAATACTTTCTCTCATGACCTCCCTGCATGAACAACCCTCTTCAAAGGACTCCCGAATACTCCGGAAAAAAGACTCGGGGGAGGAGGAACAGTGAGAGCCCATGAAAGGCCAGGTACAAAGCACAGGATCAGCCAAAGGGCCCCTCATGAGTGTTCAGTACAACGTCCTCATTTCACAAGAGAGGGCTCTGAGGTGGCCCAGAGAGGTGAAGCAACCTGCATGAGATCACACAGCTACTCCTGGAAGAGCCAGAGCTGACCTCTGGTGTCCTGGCCCTCAGACCACTACTTTTCCCATCACACCACTCTGGCTCTGACCAGATCACTAACGAGGACAGAATTTCCTCATTGCTTCCTGTCGTGTCACCAGAAGACTCTGGCTGGAGGGGCTAACGATCCAGAGAGTGGGAGGCCTGGTTCCCAGCTCCTGCTCCGCCTGACCCCTCTCCTGCAGGCCCTACCAGTCCTCCCCACCACCTGCCGGCTGCTCAGACCTCTCTTGGAGGCTCTGGTTGCAGGGAAACGTGAACAGCAAGAAATAACGGGCACAGGGCTGACCTGGAGACCCCAACCACATCATCGGGACTCTTGGCCCCTGCCAGTGCCTCTACAGGAAGGGAGATATCCTCCCACGATGTTAATGGTGAGGACAGTCACTCAGACTGTGCATGTGTGAGGGGCAGGAGTGCCGGGGATGACCCCCAGCCTTGCACACCGATTTCCCATGCACTGGGGCCCAGAGCCAGGGCAGGCTGCCTCAGGACCAGCCGCGGTGGGCAGCATCCCCAGGAGCACTTACAGGAAGACACCACTCATCCAGGAGGGCAGCTTGCAATCGTCCTGTAAGGGGATGCTTATGGATTGAATTGTGTCCCTCCCAAAAGTTTGATGTGTTGATGACTTGGTCCCCACCATGACAGTGTTAAAAGGGTGAGAAATCCTATTATGGTAATTGAAAGGTGAGGCCTTGAAGAGATGGTTAGATTGTAGGACCATGCTGTAGTGAATGGATTAATGACGGTCAGGGGTGTGGTTCTGAGGGCTTTAAAAGGAGAGCATGTGAGAGTCTCTCTCTGCTCCACCATTTTCTGCCATTTGAGACCCGTGGATCATGGTCGCCATCACCAAGACCCTCACCAAATGTGTTCCCTGGACTTTGGACTTCCCGGCCTCTGAAGCTGTAAGCAATAAATTTTGCTTTCTTACAAATTATCCAGGTCTATGTATTTTGTTATAAGCAACAGAAATAGACTAATACACAGTCCATGGGGTTACCCAGAGGCTAGGACTGAAGACTCAACTAACCCCCCAGTTGGTTGACGGAGCAGGGAGTTTACTATGCCCAGCACACCCCCAGGAAAGGGCACAGACTCCCCAAAGACTAGGAGGCACATCCTCTCCTAAAAAATTGGCCTCCAGCCTTCACCTCACCCCTTATGCCTGCGACACCCAGCCCACACAGTGGCAGCCCAACTGGCATTTGCCGGCTGACCTAAGCAAATGCTGCTCTCTCTTTATGGCCTGGGTCTAATCCCACCTTCTCCCTGGGAACCTTCAGGGCCCGTTGCCAGCCTGTATGAGCTCAGTGTCCCCCACTCCACCCACTGGCACTTGATTTATACTCCCTGGAGAAACAGCTTGTGGCGAGGTTACCAGCCATTGCTAGTTATTGGGGCCAAACAAGATAAGAGCTTAGGGATCATTTTAATGATAAAAACAGGTTATGCTGTGCTTTCTGTGTGCCAGCACTACTGAAAGTGCCTTAGACACATTAATTCATATTCATTCTCATAACTACTCTATGGGGTAGGCACCCTTATTATCCTTAGCTTGCTGAGAAGAAACCAAGGACACAGAGACACTGAGTGAGTGACTTGGCCAAGGTCACACACCTGGTAAGCGGCAGAGCCAGGGTTTAAACCCAGGCAATTTGCTCCAGAGCCCCAGTGCTTCAACACTACGAAAACTGTCCCCCTACGTACAAAACGTGATTGAAACCAAATCATTCTTAAATAAGTATTGTCATCATTTCACTCTTCCCAGGATCAGTCTTCTCTTGCTAGCCAGACTGAGCCCCCAGAGTGGGGCCTGTCCTGCCCTTCTACCTCTGGTGCGGCTGTGCTCCTGGGTATGGATCAGCCAGGATGATCGACTAAAGGCATCTCTAGGGGGAAACAGCCTCTTCCAGGACTGTTTTAGAGGGGCCCATACTCTCTAAGCCAATGCATGTCACCTGTCCCTGCAACAGAATCTACCAGTGGGAAATCCCAAGGCCTGGACTGCAGAAGCCAGATCCAGGATGTCAGATTCTGGGAATGGACATGGGGGAGAGGCCTTTGCTCTTCACATTTGAAGAATGAGAAGACTCCAAATTTCAGTGTCACCTTTGGAGAAGGAAAGAGACCTGGTCTTAAGGCCCCCATGCAGCCAACAGTGACAGTCCCACTGTATAAACACGGGTGGTGGTAATGACAGAGGACAGAAACAGCCCCAGGCCACAGGATCTCTGTCAAGGCAGTAGTAAGGAGCCTGGATAAAGAGTTGGGGGCCCCGGGCTCCAGCCTGGGTTCTGCCACCAGGTCGTTGTGTGTCCTGGGGAACCATCCCACCTCTCTATGCCTCAGCTTCCCAGCCAAAAGGGGGCTGGGCCCAAATGATCTCCAGACTCTAGGAGCTCAGCAGCCACACCTTCAGAGGCCACGCTCCTGCCACCGCCAGCTCTCCATCCATGCCACAGCCCCCACAATGCATGGTGAGAGGGTGGAGCAGAGCCCCACGGTGAATCACACCCACCCGCAGCGGCCAAAGAGAAGCCAGGCAGCAGCAGGAAAGTCCAAACCCACGCACATCCCTCCTCTCAGTGATTCTTGCCCCCCCTTCATCCCCGGCCCAAGCCCATTTATTAACTGTAATTAAGGAACAGGGAGGAAGGACTTAGAGCTTCCCCCAGGGAGACCGCTCAACCCCAGCCATGAGAGCTCAACTCTCAGGTAGACCCTGTCATTCATGGGAACGTTACTGGCTGTTCAAAGGCTTCCTGGCTTCTCCTGGTCAGAAACTACCTCCAGCCCCCAAGACTCACCAGAAAGTGTAATTCCCTGGGGAGAAGAGACAGGCTTCTGCAGGAGGAGACAAGCAGGGGTGGACTCTTCCAGATCAGGCCTGGAGAAAAGTCTCATCGCCTGCATGCTGGCTGTCACCCTCTGAGGCACACAGTAGGTGCTTAACAGACTTTAGTTTAAGAAATGAACAAATAAACCATCTCAAGACCCTGAACTAGAGACAGACGTCCATAGTGCACACAGCAGCGGGCAGCTAAATGCACACAGCATTGCTGTCGCGAATGAGAGACGCCTCCCTTGTCTTGCGTGCTCTGATGCAGTGATTCCAGAGCCAGCCGCTGGGACACCGAAGGCTGTTTGCACCAAAAGGCCCAGCCTGCTCTGCTTGCTGGCACTTCTTCTGTCCTCCCTCTTCCTGGTCCGCTCTGTAGCCTGCAGCAGGCCCACCCCCACCTGGTGCTTTGAAACTGAAGGCTGCCAGAAACAAAATGGGAAACACAACTCCCCAGCTCAGGAATCAGGAACCTTTGTCTTTTATACACTACAGAGTCAGGCTCTGGGTGAAGACAGCTCCTGGTCTCTTGCAGAACAAAATGCATGTGCTTGCTGACAGTACTGCCCTCTTTGCTAGCTCTAGGAATCGACCCTGCTAGGAGATGAGGCTGCC